AAAAAATGAATTTATACAATGCTAGAAAATTTTAGATAAAAAAAAATGAATTTATACAATGATAGAAAATTTTAGGTTCTATCAAAGTATGTGTACTCATGTACTCAATTTAATTTATAAACCTACTATAAGTACCTAACTTTAAACGCTTCAATGAGAGTGGCCCAGCCTGGATTTTATTCTGTGGAAGGGATCCGATGGTTAAAAAGTTTGGGAAGCCCTGAACCTTAATAATAGATCTTGGTTGAGATGAAAAAAAAATAGTGACAGGAGCGGAATATACGCTCACGTATCGCTCAAGTGGTTAGAGCAGCGGCGTATTGTGCCGGAGGTCGTGGGTTCGAATCCCGCTCGTGTCACTATCTTTTTCATCTCAACCAAGCCCTTAGATAAAAAGTATAATTAATGATTATATTATTGCGTGATTAATATAATTATATATCATTATATTTAATAATGACTAATTAATATCTTGATCAATTAGATATCACTATAATTAATTTAGATAATTAATACTGCCAATTAAGACTACTAAATACATGCATGGATTAATTATAATAATAGAGACAGATAATAATTAAAGAAATGGAATTTGTAAAAGATTAATTTAGAAAATCTGAAAAAAAGTTGTGTCGAAATGAGATTCGAATCTACGGACTTTGGGGGCCCGCGGTAGTGGTTAATTGGTGGCTCGTAACCCGACGTTCGTTTGTTCGCGTCACTCCGTCGCCTTTGGAATTTCCCTTTCAAGCCCCCTTTCCAAATATAAACACTGTAATATCAATCTCATTGATATGTAAAAATATGAGGCCATTAAAAAAATCCACATATCATACACCTTTCTGTCTTTTTTTAATAATACATCATCATAATGTACACAACCAACAAGTAAGGTCCTGTAAGAAGAATGTAACAAAAACGAACTTGTAAAATTACTTGCGTGGTGATTGATGATTTAATTCTCGAAATTCGGATTTGTGAGTAGATCATTTTCAGCTATTAGGTAGATATACTCACTTAATCATTGCCATTTTTTTTTTAATTTTTTGAAGTTGGTTGATTTAACTCTTTCGGCCCAGGGCGAACTTTTTCAGTCCTCGACCGGCTTCAAGTGTGAAAAGTGCGCATATACTCGGCTCGGTCTGCAGTGTGTAATGTACCTGAACATTTTAATGTACAGTACATTTCAAACTCATTTAGCAATAACACTCGAGTAAGTTGCAGGTGACCAACGGTTTTGACTGTTTTTTTGCTTTGTTATTTTAATAGTGGTTTTGTCGCAACTGATCATATCTGCTTCCTCCTCCACGTTATTTTTTTTCTTAAGATAATTTCTTTCCACTAAGAAGAGTCCTTCTCGTATGCCTTCCTCGTCGTAGTTTCACTTTTTTTTCAAGCATGGAAGTCAGCATTAATATCCCAATTGCATTTTTCGATGTTACCATACACTTACTAGTGCTAATCATACCTTCTGGTCGGTAATTTACCGATTGTTGGACCGTTTGTCAGGGCGAGGAACAAGAAAGTGAAAGGATCCACGTTCCGCCAGGACTGATTAGTACATTTCACAGTCGTAGGGTCATATCGAATTTCCGGCTCGAAACAATATATTTTATACAGTTATAATGATTAATCCTATTTAGATAAATTCAACGACAAACAGATGAGGTCACCGCCTACCCTCCCGGACAAAAATAAAAAACGTAAGGCCATTTATAAAAAAAATCAAGTTTAGAAGTTGACAGCAGCTTTTATTGGTCTAAACCATGCCTGTCTGTCCTCGATGGTGGTGTGCAGTGTAAATCGATCCTGATAAAAAAATTTATCTATTCTTTAATCCGTGATGATTAATTTTGACAGTTCCTTAGCTAAGCATCCCTACAATTATAAAAATTATTTCAATTAATTAATCTTTATGTAAGGTATTGGTTGAGATAAAAAATTGAAATCACTGGACATTTCATTTATCGCCGAGAATCGAATAGATTTCGTTTCGTTTGAAAAAATGGCAAAAAAGAGGGAAAATTCAAAAGGTGGGGAGTTAGTGTCCGAGTGAATCGAAGTGACGATAGCTCAAGTAGATAGGGACGGTTGGGCGGGGGGTTAGAGCAGCGGCGTATTGAGCCGAAGGTCGTGGGTTCGAATCCCGCTCGTGACACTGACTTTTTTATTTTTTAACCAATACTCAAATAAAGATTAATTAATTGAAAGAAGATTTGGTCAAGCGGACCACGAACTCTATGGATTTAATATATAAAATTTATCCAAATTTAAGTAAAAAATATAATTTTAAATAAAAAATCATGAATAATCAGGCGAATCTGAAAGAAAGGAAACACCCAGTGGTTTTATTTATACAGGCAAATGTCCCAAAAACAAAATATACATGACATTTTGCAATTAAAATTACAAATTTGACCATATGCAAAAGCAAAAAATTAAATGATATATTTGTACATGTGTGTATTTAAATTGTTCATTAAAAAAGAAAAAAAGGGGTTTGTTAAGCACATTTGAAAGTATGAAGTATGTCGGGCTCGAATGCGAAGCCGCTGGATGGTAATGACCTAGGACACCGACGCCCCAGCTGAAAAAGTTAATTTCACAACTGAAAAAGATTAAACGAACGGTAATAATAAATAATATTTTCAGGCTACTAATAAGTATAAAAATAAATATTAGTTAATTATGTATAACAAGCAATCAGAACGAAGCTTACATTCTGACTAGGTGTGCACTACTTAGTGCACAACTACCTAGAGAGCACCGACGCCCTCAGAACGGTTACAGCTGGCCGTGGCAGGTTTTCCGTCGACCCACTCGTTGCTTTTGTTAGAGGGATTCCACGAATGGAGCGTCTTGGCAAAATGGTGGTTGTTGTCTGAGTACCCGGATTCATAGGTCTGGAGGGATGCGTTTCAACCTCTGCATTGAACAAACGCGATCCGGCCCCATGACGTTAAAAATGCATTAAAATAATGATTAAAGAAAACTGACAGCGTCGGTGGGCTGGATCGGCAGAAATGCTCTCACATGTCAAGACGAGTGTCAATAGGTGGATCTCGGATGATCTGACTCGTAAAAGAGGGTTCATCCTCACTCCATTACGGATAGGCCATGCGAGGTTGACACACTTTTAAGCCAAAGCTGGCGGATGTGGCCTATATGGAGAAACAGCAACCTATCCCACCTAATTGAAGGGCGTCACTCCTTGGCTCTACATAGGGAGCGCATAGGAATGACACCCGATATGAGTATTGTGCTTCAGCACGGCATTGATTACTTCTTTTTTTTTTTTTGCTTTTTCCTCTGATATCCGGCCACTGTGATTTTGCAGGTATGACGGACGACTGTTGATTACTTCCTCATATATACACTGCCCATAGAGAAAAAAAAGTTTTTCCACAAAAAAAAAAAACAAAAAAAACGGTCAATTAGATGGCGTTCTTAAGATGTTTTCCGAACTTCAGTCATTCATCAATAAATTCAGAAATTCGGGAACATGTTCATTTTTGGACTTTTTACGAAAACTTCAAATTGAACTGTGGAGTCAGGAAATCGTCCTGGAGTGGGATCGATAGTAAATTTTAATAAGCTTTCAATTGGTCCTTCCAGGCTCGATTTCTCAACCGTTTTCGAGTTATTCGTGATTTTTTGAGCAAAAACGTCGTTTTTTACGTTCACATGGAAAAAACCGATCACCCTCTCTTCCAATTTTCAAGAATCCATAAATTTTGAACCGTCATGTTTTCACCAATTTTATGCTCTACAACTTTTGTTCCGAATACTTTTTAAAAAAAGTGAACAGGGAAGAGACAATCTTACTTTTTCTTAATTTGACCATTTGGGATACAGAATGCTTCTGCTATCGACGACCACTGGTTTTCTCATCACGGAAATTCAACTTTTCCTTCCCATTTTACATGTGTTCCGACAGTTTGGCTTCGAATAACATACTGAAACTACAGGTTTATGTATGGAAAAATCGAATGAGAGCGAGAGAATGATCGGTTTTACCCCATGAGACCAGAAAAACCCACGATTTTTCCAAAAAAATCGCGAAAAACGGTTGAGAAATCGGGCAAAGTAGAAAGTGACCAATTGAAAGCTTATTAGAATTACCTATCAATTGCTATAGGACGGCCAACTAAGACGACTTCCGGGTTCCACAGCTCAATTTGAAGTTTTTGTAAAAAGTCAAAAAATTAACATGTTCCCGAATTTTTGTCTCTACTGATGAATGGCTGAAGCGAGCTGACTGAAAATATCATCTTGTTCAGCGCAAAATATTCCTAAAAATGAGACCTAGAGCAG